TGTGTTCTCACTATTCTTGTTAACATGCTAGCTAGCCTTATTACATACAGTTACACATGCTTTGTATCTGTTCGTTTATATAGATGTGTATACGATTACTACTTTTATTGTTATTGTTACTATGACTGCATCGTAGGTTCGTCCTAGCCAGGCGGGAGGCAAAAAAAACATTATTATTATTATTCTTACTATTATTATCATTATTATCATCATTATTTACAAAAAGGGTAAAATTATTGCTAATTTCGTTATTATTGCAGCTATTATTCGTAATGTTGGAGGCAGTGCAGCGAGCGATGTCCAACTCCAAGACTTTGGCCGGCCCACGGCGGGGAGCCGTGCCGCCGGCCAGAAACGTGAACGCGAGTGCTCCTTATCCTCCGAACCTCGACCCGTTCTTGGGGCTTGGGGGTTTTAGGGTTTTAGGGTTTAGGGCTTAAGGTTTTGGGGGTTTCGGGGTTACCTTCTTGAGATTTCTGTGCAATGGAACCCTAGATCAACAAAAAAGCCGCAAACCCTCAAAACTTAACGCCCAGAGTTATACTCCTCAACTTCCAAACGCCTCAACAAGGATTGGACGGTGAACCACCGCCAAAAAAAACTAGACCTAGTCCCTAAAGCCCGAAGACCTGACAATGCAGGAAAATCTGCCTAAACCCTAAACCCGAAACCCCTAAACCCCTAACAGATCCCCAAAAGCCCTACCGATAGGTTCCCTAAGTAGTTCCTTTTGATGGTGTATATTTAGAATCCTATAAGGTAATCCCAAAAAAGGAACTACTTAGGGGCCTATGAGTAGACCCTTTTTTAGAGGTCTTCCCAGAAACTGGGGAATCCTCGATCCCAGGACTCCTTCAGCCTCAAGCCCGAACCCCGAAGCCTTCATTGAGACCCCTCAAAGGTTGTAGTGCAATAGGGTTCTAGAATACCAGGGTCCCCATAAATTCTAGGGTTCTTTTAGGGTTCTAGAACTTAGGTCACCTTAAAAGAGGGTGTTCTAGAACTTGGGTCCCCTTAAAAGAGGGTACTCTGGGGTTCGGGTTCTTCACAAGGGTCGCCTCTAGGGGAGCCCAAACAGAAAAGCGCAACCCTAAACCCTAAGCCCTAAACCTTAAACCCTAAACCTTAAGCCCTAAACTTGGAAGGGACCGAGCCGCTCCCAGGAATGTGATCATTCCGGCCAGACCCATCATGCCGGGAGGCCTGGGGCCTCCCGGAATGCGGCCCTGGTGAAGCAGTGAGTGCGGTAGCGGCAGTTCTGTAGCAGAGACCTCCGATGTCGAATCCCCCCCCCCCGTCCTTTTTTTAAGGACTACTACTAGAGGTATCCTATAATTTTTTTCGGACCCTGAAAGAAGGAAGGGAGGTGGGGGTGATAATCAGGAGGCATCAAGATCCTGGCAGAGTTTCAGAGCCTCGACGGCGACTAGGTGTTGGCACTCTAAGGGCAATTGTGTTTCGGTGGAACTAGTTACATATTAAAAGTCCAAGGTATACTGTAGTATCTTCTAGCATTTAAGAGTACACTATTGAATGTTATATTATATTGGCTGTCGACAGGGATAGGAAGTGAGACTGGCAGGCATGCCTCACCTCTGTGGTATCTTTGATGTACATCCACGTTCCTATTGAGTTGCTCTTGCCCACTTTTTCACCGTCTCACAGCGGTGTCTCAGACGATAATCTGCGGTTTACGTATCTTTGTATGTGCGCGCAGTTGCTATTGGGAATGTGAGCGAGGCTGAAGACGTGAAGCTTGGACAGGCGCATCGCTGCGTCCTTGCATGGCTGTGCGAAGCGTGAGCAACAAAGGAGATCCTATCACCTTGGGCTTTATTTGGTGCCTGAAGTTTCCCCTAAGCCCTAAACCCTAAACCCGAAAATCCTAAACCCTAAACCTATGAGGAGCCTTGCCTGCTGCGAGCGAGCGTGACAGTCGAAACCTAAGCCCTAAACCCTAAACCCCTTGAGCCTTCTCTGATCTTGACAGCTCGCGGAACTTTTGGTCTTGTTGCATTTGCTTACCTTTGGTTAGTAGGGAATGGAGGAATGGGAACCATTATAAGTACCATTACTACCATTCTTCCATTCCCTACTAACCAAAGGTAGGTTTAGGGTAAGCTGTCGGAACTCCACTCCGAAAAGCCCGAAGAAGACTACATAGAACCCCATACCCATAGGCTCCAAAGTAGTTCCTTTTTGGGATTACCTTATAGGATCCTAAAGATGAACCCCAAAAAGGAACTACCATGGAGCCCATGGGTAGGAGCACCATGGAAGTCTTGTTAGGGAAAATAAGCAACTCAAGACACACCCAAACAACTTTTTTGGAAGGACACTTATAAGGATATCATAATAAAGAGCCGTAGACATGTCTTTCTTAAGGTTCAGGTAAACCCTAAGCTTGAATTAAGTCTTTGCCTCGGGGATTGCTTAGCAATGTCTGATTGGAGTAGAGTTTGGAACCACCGAATTACAGAAACCGTAAATCCCCGTAGAAATTCGAACGTCCTGTAACATCCTTTGCAGAAACCCTCAAAGGAACCTAGCACAACGAAGACTTTCAGGAGCGCCCTTTGGCCGAATCCGCACCGCTGATCGCTGTTGGGCTTATCATGGGAACACTGCAGCTGGGCTTATGCGGAGGGCTTTTGGCTAAAGAGGGGGATTTGCATTTGGTGTTTTCGGGTTTGTAAGGACTCCGGGTTGTGAGTTTATAGGGTATGAGATCTCTAGACCGGGCTGCTGGACAACCAGGTCTGTTGCAAAAACGCGGCTTGAGAACTCAGGGCACCTTATAAAACCCAGTGTGATTCAACCCTAAAAAAAAAGCCTTATACAAAATATACATAACTTATATATAACCCTTACTCAATCCCACCAACCCTTAAGAGCCTGTGTGCACTTCTACCGCAGGATTCATATTTCACGGGTTCCTAAATACGGTGCCCCTAGTTTGAAAAGCCGTTCATGCGTGGCAGAGGTACCCGGTTCAATAAGTTTCATAGTCCAATGAATACGTGCTTTTGCTAAGTCACGTTCTTTGGTAGGAGGTTTGGAGACGTAATGAGCAGCAAGCAACTAGGTTCAGGTTAGGACTAGGCAGGTGTATGCACAGATGGACATACAGACACACATATGCCCATCCATCCATCCATGCATGCCATGCATGCATGCGTGCATGCAAACATTCGCCTATGTGTTCAACGCTTTCGGGAAGGTTCAAGAAGTGTCATGTTCGAGCTCCGGGAAGACCGAGGTTGCACACAGTGGAAACCCTGGCCCTAAGCCTCTGAACTATTGATGATATATATCCTGCATTACCTTAAGGACCCTAAATTATGGGACTTATGGTATATTCCTTATTATGGGTAGTGCAGGATTTATATCATCCACCGTACCACCTTCGAGTTGTCTTCGACGGAAGTCCGTGCTGCACTTGCTCCGAGGTTTACCAAGGCTTGCGAAGTTCACTGCACAAGTGTTCAGGCCAGGCTGAGAAACCGTAATGTAGTAGGGTCTAGGGTGAGAGCGCATGAGGTTTCAGAGTCCCTCCTCTGGTGCTCTTAGCAAGACATATGTATATATATATATATGTGTGTGTGTGTGTCTGTGTGTATATATATACACACATACATACATACATACATACATACGTACATACATACATACATACATACATACATATGTATATATATATATGTATATATCCGAATTTGCTGGACTTTCCCACCCTTTTTCTGAAACGCACCCGGCTTTAACCCCGCTTAACCCGAAAAGGCTCGAGCGCACACCCTAAACCCTATCCCCAAAGCCTAAACCCTAAACCCCCAGGTACCTATTATATAGGGTACTAGAGCACACTAGGGCCCTATATAATCGGTACCTGGAGGGTTAGGGTAAGCCCCAAAATCCCTCAAATCCCAGGTATGTGTCCTTTAGCTGGGCATACCTGCCTGCAGCTCACCTTCCTCTGAGCTGCTCAGAAAAGACGTGAGCCCTCAGGTTTCTCTGTTTTTTCACCTAACTTTTGGGTTCAATTAGGGTTCCGGGTTTCTAGCTCTTCAGAGAAGTTTTGGGTTCAAATTGCGGTTCCGGGTTTCTAGCTCGTCAGGTAGGTTGTTTGGAGGGTTGCTCTGCCATGCCGAATCATGGACAGAGCCTTCACCGTTCGCTTGCCTTCGGGGATCTTCGAGCTTCGCATGCGTTCGGATCCCGGGGATCAATCGGTATAGGCCCCATGGGAAGTTCAGAAGCAGAAGCTCCGAGCTCACAAAAAAAACCCTAAACTCTAAACCCTAAGGGTTTCTCAAACCCGAGAAGGGATGCCGTCAACAGAGACCCGCAGTGCCCTCGAAATCACCGCTCGCCTCATTGTGGTGACCTTATGCTTCCCATGCCGTAGTGTGGCAACCTTACAACAGGTGTACAGCGATCCCACATGACATCAAGTGCCTCAGCCACCCATACCAGACGTCTTTTCAGAACCCATAAAATGCTCCATGGAAGGCTATCAGGTTACTATGCGGCTATGACAATCCAGGCTTGATTGATCCCTGCCATAGTCTGTCTGCTTGGCTTGTGTGGGACCCTGCCCTGTCCTGGGACTTCGGCGGCTTAGTAAGTACGACCCTTCGAAACCCAGACCGCAACCCGAAGCCACGGTTTAGGGCTTAGAGCGCAGTTGCACCAAAGCGTTCAGGTTCAGATGCTCTTGAAAAGATTCGAATTTCGAAGCTACCTCAGTCCGGGGCTTTACAGTTGTGTCGAGTTCAGCGGTTAGGCAACGAGGGCACCGCAGGAATCGGAATGATACATTGATAAAGAGTTGAGACATAGGCAGATAAAGGCAGCAAGATAAATAAGACTGAGAACAAAGAAACAGTAGCTACGTACAGATTGCACACCCTATAACCTTATATAAGTCAGAACTCAATACTTGCGCCATGTTTTTTTTCTGAGGTAGCACCAGCTCTGTCGTCTTCCATTCTTCCTTCATCATGGCGGTTCTCTCTTACGAGCTCCTGGGCGCGGCTTTGGGTTCCAATTGTTTGCGGGTTTAGGGGGGAGGGGTGGGGGTACATTTCTAAATTAGGGTTCCGTTTTGGGTCCCCAAAAAAGGACGGCACCCTTATAAATAGGACCCCAAAAGGGTCCCTAATTTAGAGAACTACCCATGTTCTGGCTCAAGGACCCGGTTCCCGCGCGCACATTGCCTGATGGGTAATTATGCCAGGTATGCCTTGTCGTTGTCGAAGGTGGTAGATGTCCATTTTCACGAAGTTAAATCCTTATGCCCCTGAGCCTGGGCTCACAAGCGACACGCTCCAAGGCGCGGGATCACCATCGATCCTGGTTTCATTCCCGACAACTGGCAGAAGTCGGAGAACGGTCGCATCTCGGATGCAATCGACTTCTTTCGGGCCAGTTGGTCTTCTATGGGCGTGCGAGGTTGTTGAGGGCCTTAGGATCAAAATCTCAAGGTTTGAACCCTCAACATCTAAAAACCTTCTCGGGGTTCGAAACATTGTTCGGCTTCGGGGTTTAGTTTGGGGGGTGGAGCTTGTTTCACAAGCTTGGGCCTACTTGGAGGTTCATGGGCCATGGGTAGTTATAAGCGGGGAAATAAGTCCCCTAAAATGAGTCATAAGTATAGTTACCTACTTATAACCCCACTTCTAACTACCCATGAACCTCCAAGTAGGGGTCACATCTACAGGATTGTGGTGCAGTTGCAGGTCCCCTTGGGCAGAAGCAACCATCTTGGTTCTTGCCCTCTGGCTGTAGCATGGAGGCTTGAAGACGTACCAAGGGCTCCTTGTTATAATTCGAGTATACCCCCCAAAACCCTATTCAAAAAACCCTATTCTAAATATTGAGGCCACGAGATTATTTTATCAGCTTCCGGGTTCTTGTTGAGGGCTTTATTTCAAGGTACCCGGAATAGGGATCTATAGTAAATAACATGGTTGGCTTATTATGGAAACTTAAACTAAATCCAACAAGAAGAACCCCCGGCTTCGCTGGAATTTTGCTGTTTGGCTTGAACTCCCGACCTTCCCCTAAAGCCATGGCCTGACACACCCTGGAACCTTGTTCCGGCGATTGTGGTTTGGGGTTTAGGGCATAGAGGTTCAGGGATTGGCAGAGTCTGGGTTCAAAAAAAAGGGGGCATTTAGGGTTTAGGGTATTTAGGGTATTTAGGGTATTTAGGGTTCAGGGTTTGTGTTTTAGTTTCATCCCAGGGGCCGTATATATCCCAAAACCCGAGATACTGAGGCTGCTGTGCCTTGCCTTCGTCAATGGACTGCTCCTATAAGCCCTACACCCTTGACACCTAAGCCCCAAACCCTTGAAACCACGAAATGCGAAACCCTGAACCCTAGGTCCTAACCCTAAACCCTACACCCTAAAGAGCGGGCAAAAGAGCTGTAACTCGAAGACCTGGATGCATCCTGCTCCTGGCGATTCTCGGGGCGTCGCACTACTCGAAACAAAAGGTTCTATTGTGGTGTACCAGGGCCTGCAATCTATGAACCTATACCGTCGGGCCATTTTCTCCCACCAAACACCCCCAACAAGAATGTCACCTCCACTATCTGGCACGGGCCTAAATAGTCAGCAACCCGAAGTTGTGGTCCTTTGTGGCAGTTAGAGTATAGTTCATCCCCAAACCCTATTCTAATCGTTAACCTTCCCTACATTAAGCAAACAGAACCTCCAAGCCCAAGTCCTAAACCCAGGGGGTCATATCTCCGAAGCCCGCACCAGAGTTTTTGAACTCGCTTCCCCTTCACCCCGACCCCCGATTGTATTCTGAATCCGAAGCCTTGATTGCATTCCCAAAGGCTCCATGTACCCATATAGTATAGACTTAGACCCTAAAGTACCTATATAGGAACCCCTTTAAGGCCGAAGTATATACTATATGGGTACATGGAGCCTCGATTGCATTATGAGCCCTATAGCCGATGCACTAAGCTCTCCTCTCAGGGCCCATCTTCGAAGTGGAAGGTGGCATAGTCTTCATGCACGAGCGCCACTTGGCTCTCATGGACCGATTTTGGGCGCAGAGTGGGTTTGAGCAAGAAGTTGAACCACCTCGGAAAGGCCTTCATGCATATAGATAGCTAGCTAGCTAGCCAGGCAGGTAGGTAGATCGACAGACATGAAGGCTGACAGCTCTAATGGATCGTGCATTTCCTTGTCGTTTAAATACGTTCTTAATGGTTTCGCGGTGTGCCTCTCGGTCCGGGATGTGGGGGTCTTATCCATTCAGGTCTTCTTGCAATGTGTACAAAGTCGCAGGACGTATCCAAGTCTTTGCTACGTGAAGTGCGTTCCACTCCGGGGCCTCACCACCCGAATCAACAACCCCAAAGCAACAGCAGGAAACTCAACATGTGCATGGCGTCATTTGGCGGCCTTCGCCGACGGACAGGAATCCTCTCGCCCTGGCCAAAGTCTGAACCAAAAATCAACACGAGAACCAGAGGTTTCACCGGCTCCTGTATGAGCTAGTGCCAGTCAATCCCGGGTTATGACCCATCAAGCATCGAAAACCCACCGAGGCAAGAAGAAAACGGGCGAACTGCGGTTTTGCAACAAGGAGATGTCTCTCGGCCTCGTCGGAGAAGCAGCTTTTGTTGCTTTGCAGCCGGAGTTTGAGGGCGAGCTCCGCGTATGGTTTACCTGTGGCCTAAACGACCTACCTTTTCTAACGAGCCATAATATATAGAACCCCCCTAAACCCTATACCCTAAGGAGCTATATTATATAGAACCCAGAATCCGAAGCCATAGCAAGGTAGGTCTTTTCGGCTACAGGATCGCAGCAACTAGTAGTACAGCATATTTTTTTGAGTTTAGGGTTTAGGGTTTATAGGGTTTAAGGTTTGATGGTTGATTGCCTTAGACCCTGCAATATGGAAGCCCGAAGCCCTCAACCCTATAAGCCTAAACCAAAATCAACAGCACTCAAAAAGGCTGGACCCAAGTTCATAGGGTCCCTCCTTAAAAGCCTTAATACGGCCCGAAACCTCGTATAGACCTCAGCCCGACCCTGCAGGGCGAAAGCCATTAATCTAGGACATTTTCAGGTGGGTAGTTACCGTTATAGGACCCTCAACCCTAAACCCTAAACCCTAAACCGTCTACATATTCTAAAAAGAAGCCCGGAAGCTTGCTAGAGCCCGGGAAGCCCCAACCAGTTCGCTAAACCGAAGCCTTAGAGTAGCCTTAGAAGCCCCTAAAAAGGCTTCCTAAAACTACAGAAGTCTTGAGAAGATTTGTAGGGCCTTAAAAACGCCACAGAAGTCTGACAGTAAACCCCAAAGCCATTCCTTACAACCCTGAGCTCTAAACCTTACTAGAACCCTACTGAACCCTACCGTAAAGGAATCCTTCAGAGAACCCTAACCCCAAACCCCAAGCACCAGAAGCCCTACTGTAAAGGAATCCTACAGTTCATGACATAAATCCTGCCTTACCTTAAGGACCCTAAGCTATGGAAATTTTGGTATATTCCTTATTCTGGGTAATGCAGGATTTGTATCATCAATCCTAAACCCTAAACCTAAACCGTAGGACCCTAAACCCTAAACTCTAAACCGTAGGACCCAAAACCCTAAGCCCCAAACCTGAACTCCTAATCAGCCGACTGAGTGGGGTGAGAGCCTGCACAGGCTTTGAGCTCTCAGTGATTGTGCTGCTAAAAAAACCTGAACTCCTTCAGAGCGCCAGTCCCCCCAAGACCCCTGCCGCTCTGCACTAAGGAAGTTCAAGCCCGACCGAGCTGCTCGAAAGCCTTAGGTGAAAAATGCCATACTGTGATGTAAGAAATATATATATATATATATAACTAACATATGTTATACTTATTTCTATGTATATACTAAACTAGCCTGCGATAATGTAAGATAATACTATGCTATATTGAGCTATACTGAACTATACTGGTAGGCTAAGGTAGATTGAATCAGACTTGGAAGTGAGCTGGGGTTTGAGACTTTATAGTCTTAGGCTTTCGGGGTTTCGGGCTTCAGGGATTGACAGTTTTTCGTGTAGGTTTAGTGCCAGGGTCGTTATCAGGATGTGTCGAAAGTTCTAGAAGGCTTTTTTGCGGATTTGTAGCGTTTTTTTCTCCGGGGCCAGTGTTGAGTCTGCTTTGCCAAGGGTGGGCGGTCGAATGAATGAAGGCACGTTGTTTTATGAAACTCCCATATGCCACATGGCTCATTTGATTGAGGCTCCAGGGCATCGTGCGCACCCAACGATCTTGGCTCGCTCGTCTGCCGTTGACGCACGTTGGATCATCTTGTCAGTTTTGCTTCATCAGGAAAGCAAAAAATGACACGAGAGCCTCCATGCCTCGGGTAACAAACCGCACCGCCACTGCCCCAAACAGCAACTCATGTAGCACTGTGGCATTTCGTGAATTCCTTGCCGAAGCCCTGGCCCCTCATGCAGGGAACCTTTCAATACCACGACATTCCTCAAACAACCAAGACGGCCTTGCAACTCTCTATGCCAAGATAGCCAAAGGGAGACAGGAATCCATCAATTCCCTCCCCATCAACACGAGCTCAGATACACTAGCATTCAATTAGTTCTTACGTTGTCGGAACCCTAAACCCTAAACCCTAAAGGTCCGCAGTCTGCACAGAGCTTACAGCCCCGCTCCGAGGCGCACTATTGCAGCGCGATGCGCCGAAATGTTCTGCGGATGGACCATTATTGCCCGTGGTTGGCGAACTGTGGCTCGGACAAGAGTGCCCCAGGTTTCATGGATTCAACAAAACGGTACCTGGCGTTCTTATACCGACTCTGTTTTGGTGGGGACTCGTAGATTTCTTGAAAGGGCTCGTTTTGTTGAAGCAAGTTTCTTTCAGCCGTTTTAGCACCTTCGGAGCCCTTCTTCGGGTCAGGAGAACACTTTCATCAAGCACCTGGCTTCGGGCTCAGGGCTCCCGGACTATTGCGGCCCATTTTCAAAAACTGTGTTTAGCCGATGCCCCTAAAGGTGCATTGGGGTCCTGATAAACCTTACCCCCTAAGCCCTGAACCCCTCATCTCCGACGGGTCAATCCCCTGCGAAGCCTGAGCCCTTAAGCGCTAAGCTCTAAAGCCCTTATAACCCCTGCACCTATCGACCTGGTGTGCGAGACCTTCGATGGGTCTTTGATCGAATCAACGGTTTGGGCTAAGAGTTTGAGACCTTTCAGACCTGAGTATTCGAGCTACTTTAAGACGAGTCCAAGCGTACCCGTGACTTTAGGCCCATGTCCTTTCTGCGTACTTCTGTAAAGCAGGGTCCCATGCAATTTAGAAACCCAGAAGAAGGCGGAAGCCCTATAAAAAGGAGCTTAACAGGGACCCCACTTAGAGAACCGCACTCGTGTACTGCCTGCTCGTGGCTTTCGTTGCCCACTCAGGTGTCGGGTACCATAACCACAAGTTCTTCTTCCTCTTCCTGTTCTATACGCTGATAGCCACAGGCTGGTCTGAAGTGGGACTTTCCGAAAATTGGGGTACCTTATTTTGGGGGTCCGTATAATAAGGATCCTACTATTTAGGGTACTCTATTAGGGTCCCCGGTTTTCGGAAACCCCCATGTGGATTAGGTGTGGTTTCAGGTTCAAACCTCGGTTCTGCTCCGGAATCCTTGAACCTCGGATAGGACCTAAGAGGGTTAGAGCCGGGGTATCAGTGACGGGGCCTAGCGGCTGTTCGGCCGTACACAGAGCAAGGAGACTTGCCTACAGATCCCACATTGATATTCAACACCTAAGTTTGGAGTTGCAGAAGCAAAGACAGCCCCTCAGATACTGAAGCCACTCGGTCAGCCAGGTGAGATTGGAAAACATACTGAATAGTACTGCTGATGATGTAAATCCTGCATGACCCTTAAGGCTTAAGGACCCTCAACTATGGGATTTATGGTATTAATATTCCTTATTCTGGGTAATGCAGGATTTTTATTTCATCAACCGCAGGATCTGGATCCTACTCAGAAGAATCGCTGAAGGGATCTCTAGCTTTCTGCAACCCCGAATTGGGCAGCCCTTTTTCCCGTTGACGGCAGACTCAAAAACAAAATGCAGCAAATGGGTTTTTGATTCAGGGCTTAGGGTATGCAGCAGACACGCATAGAAGGTTTCCAAGAAGCATACCACCAGTGATGAAGCAACACTTGTTCCAATGCAGTGCCACAGAGCCCGGCTTTTAAGCTTTCGAGCCTTCCCGACTGACAAATCCTAAACCCTAAACCGCTAAACCCTGAACCGCTAGGCCCTAAACCCTAAACCCCAAGTCCTGAGAAAGAAAAACAGCTTCCCTCGCGGGCTGGCAGGTATGAGTTGCCCCGGGTCTCGTTTCAACGGATACCTTGAGGGGGCCGCACCACCCGTAGTGAGAGAGGGTTTGAGGTTAAGCATTTAGGGTTTAGGGTTTAGGGTGTATTGAGAAAGGGCTTAGGGGCCATATTGCGCTAGAGCAAGATAGTTTCAATCCTTGCTTGATTGAGCCGATCTCAACTGCAGGCACTCTCGACGTGGGTGTAATCCGTGCGCTGCCACTTGGTTCTGACTGGCTGGGTGGGCTTTCTGAGGCTACCGGCTACCGTCATTGCAGGGCCTACTTCTGTGACGGTGTTCTTCGTGTTCTGTGTGGATTCGGATCCTCAGTTGCCGCCGGGGTTTGCATAGCCGGATGCTGTTTTTTGGGCTATGCAGACTACGGCTGCAAGGCCACTACGGGGAGGGAAGCAGTGCAGGATTAGAGAGGCCTGCGACTCAGATGCATGCGGGCCAGAGGAAAGGGGTTGTGGTGGCAATTGGGTGATGAACTGATGGGCACGACGATCCAACTTTGTCGGATCCACGAGAACACTCTCTTGTTTTTGGAAATGCTGCTATGACTTGAAGTCAGCATTCAGGAGAACAGATCTTTAATGCGGGGGGTATGGTTCGGCACAGTGGTCCCGATTGCATAAGCCACGTCGTTTTCGGTCTTGTTGCGCTCAAGAAGCAGTGCTAGCTACAGGCTCATGGCATATCTGCATGCGAGTTTCAGAACACAGGAGGCCCCAATCCTACCATGGACCACAAAGAGTCGGATCCCGCTCGAGAGACCCTCCAAGCCCCCACGCAAGGCACCGCTGATTCCCCATTGCGAGGGCTCGGAAGAGCGGGGGTTTGGGGTTCCGGCACCCCGAGACTCCCTTGTTCCCTTGCTATGACTTTTTAGGTAGGTCTTTGGAATATACTGTCCCTTACTATAGTTGGGCTTGAAGGGCTCTGATTTGCGAGTGTTTTCGGACTTTGAAGGGCAACAGCCTAGTGACCTTCAAAAATCGTGATAAAGCTTTCTACTGCAAAGCCAAAGCAGAGCTTCTGTGTAACTCCCAGGCATTGCTGCATGCACAGCGCTGGCCACACCTTCATGATGGGTCAAGGCTTGGAGCCCTTGTGGGCCTGTCTGAAATTATGTGTAGTATATGACATATATAATAACCTACGTAGTAGAATATAGCATAGTATGATATCGTCTAACATATATACATATATATATATATTATTTATATATTATTTATATGTTATAATGTGCGTATGTGTATGTGTATATATAGAGTAGAATTCGTATATACAGAGGTCTGAGGAGTGAGTACTAGTGTCCTCGTGTAGGCTAGCCCGACATGATTGTGAGGTTTGAAAAGCACAATCTCCCCAAAAAAACAAAAGCCCTGTGCTCATTCATCCGCTATAGCACGCTTCGCCGGACCTATGCTCTGATTTTTTTGCCCAGTCTTAATCTGTTCAGGTTTGGGGCTTAGGCTTGGGTTTCAGAGTTCGGAGGGTGCTACCTCATCCAGTGATTTCCTAATGGCTGGTGCACCGAGGTTTGCAAATCGCATCCTGCCAACTTGGGGGCATCACTTGCACACAGTCGCCACAGAGAGAGAGGGAGAGAAAGAGAGAGAGAGAGAGAGAGAGAGAGAGAGAGAGAGGGAGAGAGAGCCCTAACCCGAAGGAAGAAGAGCCCTAAACATTAAAACTTCAAATTAAGTACAGGAGACAAACCCTAAACTGGCCCTAAATTGGGCATCTAACTCAACTCGGCTCCAAAACGCATCAGTGAAAGCTTAGGGTTTAGGGTCTAGGGTATTCGTGTTGTAGCCTCGGCCGAGTCGTCTTGGAGGTTTTGGGCCAAGAGAGTCTTCGACCGCAGGTGCTGTGATCTCCACGCTCCTCACTGTCCTTCTTGGGCCTTTCTTTGGCACCCTGGCCGGAACTTGCGCTCTCCGGTATTTCCTGAATCCTGAACGCCTAGACCCCAGCCCAGTCTTCGTTGTTCAGGAAGGAAGATGCAACCTTTTAAAAATCTATGCTACAATCTTCCACATCTTTAGGTAGGTGCACACTGTTCGGGTGACGGAAGATTCCTGCCGAGCCCGCCGACAAGCTTCCTCAGAACTGACTGTGCCCTGCATTCGGAGATAGATAGCAGCAGATAGCAGCCATGAAGCTCTGCAGCAATTCTGTCAGGACCCCCCGTGCGTACTTAAGAGCTTGAACCGTAGCTGTTTGAGAGTAGGCTCTCTGTTGAGATCCTTTGCGCCAGGGGTTGCGATCACAGACGGATCCCTACTCCCACAACGGCTCCATTTCCAATTGGTGTTCGTGCGGACATGATTGAATAAGCTGCTTTCGTTGTGAGTGTATCGAGTAATTATGTGTAACAATCAGCGACGTTCTTGCATCGTAAAACACACTCAAACCCGGAGCCCTAGATGGCAGGCTTTGGACACCATTTTGCTGTGTTGTATCGAGGCTTCCACTGCTGGCTCATGAAGCACAACATGACGACCATTGCCCCCTTGGCGAAAAACATTCAAAGATCGTTTCGGCTTCCGGTACCAAAGGTTTAGCTAACCAGGCTCTGGAACTGGATTGTCGGTGTACGGTAGGCACCAGCAGCTAGGTCCCAGAGTTTAGTTTTGAGGTGCGGGCTAGATGATCTTGTCGTTCTACGATTCGTCGACTGCAGGTGTCAAGCTTGGTCATGTGGTGACGAGGCTGTCCTGGCTCCGAACATCTAATCCCTAAGCCCTAAACCTCCCATACTTGGAAGCAGAGGGGAGCTAGTCAGTGGTAAATAGAGGCACCGTCAGCACTCGACACGCATTTAGGAGGTGCTTACGAAATCCAAATGAAGGACTTTGCCAAGTCTCGTAGTCCTTCAAGTAAACAGTGGAAATCGCCAAACTAACCTTGTAGAACCGCAGAAGGATCTTCCAAAACCTCGCACGAACACAAAAAACCCACCAGGCCGTCGGCCCAGCCGGTACCAAGGAGTATTGTGAGAAGCGACGAGACAACGACGAGTCCCGCATGTCGCACTACGACATCGGGGTGCACAGGAACATCCAATGTCCGCGTCCCAGGGGCGCTATAAGGGGTTTGTAGGGCTCCTCAGAAGGGCTTACAGGGTCTGATATGACTATCCCAGGTCTGATCGCATTCAGGATTCGACCGGTTACTTTAGGGGTGATACGGCACTGTAAGCGATTGAAATTTGCCTGGCGACGTCTGCGTCAGCACCCAAAACTGGCCCAAAACCCTTCAAGCCCATCGCCCCAAGCACAAAATCTCAAACATCAAAACCCCAGACCATACTGCATGAAGCCCCCCAAACATGTTCGCAAATGCAGTGCCTCCCAAAATGCCAAGCCGCTTAAACCCTCCAACTCGAGGTGTGCTGGGAGACAATTGGATGCTCTGGCTGCTGCCCATCTCGGGCCCTTCCGGTGATGGCTTGTTGCTCGGCGATGCTTTGAGGAGTTGTACAGCTAGGCTTGCGCTTCATAATTTATACTTCGACTTATTGGGTTGAGGAACCCTTTGTGAGTTGAGGAGGGTTCTATTTACGGAAAAAGTTTCGAAGTTCTCAACGGCCAACCAAGAACCCTTGAACCTTAAACTCTGCATCCTAGACCCTAAACCAACAAAGCCCTAAACCCTAAGGAATGCCTGCTTTGCGAGTGTGTGAGTCGAAACCCTAAGGCAGGGTTCCTAAATGCGGTGTTAGGAGCTGGGATCCTCGTGCTCGGCTGCTTCTGGTTTGAGACTTCAGGGCTGGGTCTTTCTTCAATCACTTAAGAGCCCAATAGGTAAACTTTAAACTTGTTTGGCATATCAAAAGCCCCACTAAAAGAAAAGTTTAAACTTTTTTGGGCCAGGGTACTGGGCAGCTAAGATCACATCAGAGGACCTAGTAGCATGAACTGATATGAACTGACTTCGGAAACCCAAGTGACAAAGTGGCGCCATGATTTTAAGCCGGCTAAACCCCACGCCCTCAACCTCACTCAACCTCCAAGATTTTCTGGTTTATGGATGCTGCGTGGCATGGAGGGATGGGCTGATGCCACAAAAAATTCAGGTCATGTGCGAAAGCTGTAACCGTCCTTTTTGCGTTGTTAGTTCCTGTATCCTCACAGAGCACTGAAACTTTGCAGTTCTGCCTCGAACCTCAAGGCAAGAGCCTTTCGACCTGTCTGCAGCTGCTTTGTTTGTTCCCTTTATCATCGAGTAACATGTGCCCCGATGCCAAGCTGGCCAAGGCAGTGGGGCGTTGCCGAGATGCGGCCTGCAACTCCCGCTGTTGAGGATCTCCGCGCTGTGCTCTCACAGCAATCGGCTTTGCCACAGGCAAAGAAACTTAGTTCTACAATATCCAGCCTTTAAACTTATCGGGTTCTTATAATATTAGTAGTACTCTAAAGGTTTTACCTTTTATGTCCCTGGCTTGTTGGGGAAGTAAGGAAAGGCTCCAGCCTGAAAGCCTCAACTTGCGCAACCTGACACGAAAACCGCAGAGCTCCAAGAGCCGGCTCAAGACTCTTTGCCTTAGCTTTTCCTGCGAGTTGGGTGCCGCTTATAATTACAGCTGACCACGGCCTCTTCCAGGTCCAACCAGGCATCATCACGCATCATCATTCGCTGCAGGTTTTAGCTGATTTGGGTTGACATGTGCGAAGCCTTAAACCCGAAACCCCAAACACTACGCTGATTTCGTGTAGCTCGATATTCAACGTCTTACATCGTAAGCCTTAAATCGTCGCCTTACCTATATCGCAAGAGCCGGAAGCCCGACAAACCCTCTTAACCCAGAGACTCCAAAACCCCTTAATTAAGGAATATACCTTAAATCATATTAGGGTTCCTGTTGTAGTTTAAGGTATATTCCTTAGTTAAGGGGTTTTGAAGTCTCTGGGAACATCCCCCCCCATAACTCATAGACCTCTGAAGCTCCACGACTCCAGGGCATGCTGAAAGTAATCCTTATAAAGTGGATGCTGTTTAGGGTTTAGGGTTTAGGGGGATCGTTTTCACTTTTCATATGAAAATGTGGATCCAAGGGGTCGTCAAAGATATAACGCAGTCGCGCCCACCTGTAGGCGCCCCAGAGCCCAACCCCCTTAGACAAGGCCGAAGTTAACAGCATTGTTCCTTCGGGCTACCCATGACAACTATACGAAATCCCTTTTCAATTAGTCATTAGGCCCCCTATATGAAGCTTTCATAGTAGCCCTTAGACTATCAAACCCCTTCAGGAACCTTATCAAATCTTGTTCATTCAGGCCTAAAACCCTTATGGTACCCTACACCTTCAGTTGAATGATGGCATTTCGAAATATTAAGGCCCCTATGTTTGACCCTGAAAATAACCCTTGAAACCGTCTACGAACCATTACTAAGGCCCCTATATTCCCACTCACCGTGATCCTTATAGAACCATCAAAGGGCCCTTAAAGTAATCCGATTCTCTAAACGTTAGACCCGAAAGCCCTAAACCCTCGCCTGTGGGCTTTGATCCTCAGCTATGCGAGAGGGAAAAAACCCCTTCGCCCAGGCATGTCCGAGTGTGAGTGCTGAAGCCCCTTCCCTACATTAATCAGAGACTCCAAAACCCCTTAATTAAGGAATATACCCAAATTGTAATGGGAACCCTAATAAGGTTTAAGGTATACTCCTTAATTAAGGTATACTCCTTAATTAAGGGGTTTTGGAGTCTCTGGGTAAACAGGAGCCCAGTGCTGCCGCTGCCTTGCCAGCTGCCGCCACAGAGGCGGAGCCGACCTCCCGGCAGGAGGCGATGATGAAATCTCGATCTTCGGGGTGACCTCCCTTTGAAAACCTTGAACCCTAAACCTTAAACCCTAAACCCTAAACCTTAAACCCTAAACCTTAAACCTTAAACCCTAAACCTTAAACCCTAAACCCTCTAAACCCGGTAAAGGAACCTTGACCCCTAAACCCCAAACCATATTGTACCCGTTGTATAGTAGAACTGAAGGAACCTTTAAGGATTCCAAGGCTTGGGGTGGATGCCGCATGCCTTAAGTGTTCTATCAGGTTCAAGGGTTCTAGAACAGTACTTTAGGGTTTCTACAAGGGCCCAAACCCCCAACCCTAAAACCCTAGACCTTAAACCCTAAACCCTAAACCCCCAACCCTAAAACCCAAGGCTTCACAGCCTGCACTTATAAGCCGAAGAGTCCCCGGATCCTCAGCCCCAAGCGCTAAAAACCCTACCCCATCAGCCGACCAGCCTCAAACCCAAACAGACCCTAAATCCCTAAGCCCTAAACCTGGAATCCTACCCTAAACCCTAAACCCTAAATCCCTAAGCCCTAAACCTGGAATCCTTGCCAGCGTGCGAGTCGAAACCCTAAAAGGATCACTTTTTTAGAGCCTTCGGTTCAAAGGCCCGGCCGCCGAAGCCCTCCCTTCCCGCTTGTGTGCCGCTGGCATCCGAGGCGGGGCGCAGGAAGGTTTAGGGTTCGTATGGGGTTATGGGGTGGAAGGTTGGTTTAGAGTTCAAAAGGGATTATGGGGTGGAAGGTTTAGGGTTTAGGGTGTAGGGACGATGAGGCAATTGAACTTTGGTTTAGGGTTCAGGTGTTCTGGGTGTAGGGTCTGGGGGTTTAGGGGGTTCAGGGGTTTAGAATTTAGGGGTTAAAGTCAAAGACTCTAGGACTCCAGGGTTCAGTTGTGATGGGCTTAGAGTTTGAGATTGAGAGGGTTTAGGCTTGTGTTTTTGTATTTTCTAGGGGTTGAGGTCTTCGACATCCGACACTTCCATATGCCGATGTGCATTTTTGTTTTTTTTTATGAGTGTGCCTTGTCAGCTTTTCTCTGAGTGGCTGTTTCGGTTGTAGGGCTCTGTGTGGCTATGGGGGCGAGATTTCGGGATTCGAAGATTCCGAGCCCTGGGAAATGACGACAACTGGCCATAAAATCTTATCAGTAGGATGATCAGTCGTTGCGAGAGCATGCCCTTGAACAGGATACACGTCGAAGAGCACCCGGTCATGGGACACGTTTTAGGGTTTTATGGTTTTTGGGTTTGGGTTTGAGGGTTCGGAGTTCGAGATCATCTTGACTGGACTGGTGTGAGAACTGTCAGAGCCGCAATGAAGGCTCTTTTGGAAGAGGCCTTAAACGTTCTCTCGGGGCATCAAGGAATGGTAAATATACTCGTACCCGCGCGGATGTTCCGCACGGTTCCTTACTGTAATGGCACGAACATATATACCGCCAAACCTTTTCTCATTACATATTAAGCACTGCTCTTGATCCGAAGCGAGTCGCAGGCATTGGGAGAGATATGCGGAGACCTTGTTGTCGCTGGGCTGCATGTGCTTACTTGGGCATGCATAGGTAGGAAGTAGGGGAACCTGCATTTTGTGGTGCTTTTAATGCCTGGTGATGCCGGAAAGTTCGAGATGTTTTTGGGAGAGGGGGTGGCTGTTTGTTGAAGGTTGGGGCTGAGTGTTTGAGGGTTTAGGCGGGGGGTGTCAGGCTTTGTAGGGGGTCTCTTTCGTAAAGCCCCCCAAAGTTCCTCGAGCCTCTCAGCTGAGCTCAACCAAATGGGTCCATGTTACTATTCTGACATCAGAGCCCTAAACCCTGAACCCTAAGCCCTAAACCCTAACCCCAAACCCCCAAAACCATGATAGGGATGCTTGGGGGGGCCTAGGTTTAGATGGACCCCTGCAGGTCGCAAGGACTCAAGGATGAGGTACCCTTAGGATAGTAGTTATAGGGTTTAGGGTTCAGGGTTTAGTAGTTTGGGGTTTAGGGTTTTAGGGTTTAGGGTCTAGGGTCTAGGGTTTAGTAGTTGGGTTTTGGGTAGGGTCTAGGGTTTAGAGTTTAGGGTTTAAGGTTAGTT